TCCAATTACTAGAAACAAAAATCAAATTTACTTAAGCACTTGGACAACTGTAATGATAATAAACGGAGGTGTCAGGTGGAGAGACAGTTCCTGGACTTGACGCTGACGGTCGGCCCAGTTGGGGGTACCTGTAATGAGTATCACGACACCAACGGTAGCTTGCTGCGTTGGTCCCCAATTAACACATTTGTTAGGGGAATTGTAACCAGGAGGGCTTGCTGGCCTTCTGGCACTGGGAGGCAGCGGGGAGGCTCCCGACTTCACCAAACCACCATCCACAAAAGAAATAAGGGTGTTTTTACAGTGTTGTTAGCTGACAACGGAATATCTGTTATCTGCGGGATATTGAAAGGGTAGTGTAGTTGACACAAAAATAACACAGGGTGTGAAATTTTGATGAGTCTGGGCATCAGCAACTAAGTCCAAATGAAGAGCACATTCAGATAGGCCTATCAACTATTAATAATATAAATTGACACAGAATGTCTTCATGACCGCACCTAGTCTTATTATAAAAAAAAAAAAAAATAAGAAAAAATCTAAACTACAACACTTTACACTTTTAGATCAGATGAAAATCCAGTAATTAGATGGGAAGGGGCTTTTTTGTGTTTAGTTTTGAAAATAGTGTTTCAATAGAATATGTTGAAACTAAACAAATTTGCATTAAAGAGGTGTTATGGGCAATGGCAACTATATTGAAATCAGAAAAACCCAAATCATGATCCAGATCCAGTTTTAAATTCTGAACTAAAACGTGTAAACTCTCTAGATAAATAAAATGTTCCCTTAAATGTTTGTAACCATCCTGCCCCGCCCACAGGTGGGTCTTGAAGAGCGGTTTTTGGCAGGCGAGGTCATTTGAGGTCAGCATGTATAACAACACAGGGGAATCGGCAGGGTGTCTGTGTATCAGTGTCACCCACCCCAGGGGAAGGTTTGGACTGCTTCTTGACAAGATGCTTAAAGATGCACTGTTCATGCTTTTTTCTTCTAAGAAGTTGTCAACTAATTTGTTTTATCTGTAAAAAAAAAAATTAAAAATAAAAAACCTCCCTTTTTCTATTTCAGGTGTTTGAACCCTCTGAAAAAAGCCGGTACACTTTATTTTGGATTGCTAATTAAATTAAAAATATCCACCCTGCTAGAAGACTGGTTCCCCGTCCCTACAATATCAATTCAGATAGTGACTGGGAACCAATTCACCTTGTGAGAACTGACTTATAGTAGCTTGAAATTTGTCAAGTTGAAGTAATTATTCCAGAACTGTGGACTGTGAAAAACATATTTATTTTTTTTTAGGGTGAAACTCGAAAACAGCATGGGAAGTACATCTTTAAAGAAAAGGGGGAACAGCCAGGAAGACAGAAAAAAACGTTAAGGCAATATAAGATGAGGGCTGGGTAACTTTGGCTGCATCAGCTTACATTCCTTCTGGTGACAGAGAGAGGACATAACGTGTCGCTCAGTTTCAGTGGGGATTGGAATTCCACAAGGGAGCAACAGAAGGTATAGAGTTTTTTAAACGTGTAGCTAGCCGGAGACCATGACAAACTGGTGCTGAGGAATTCTTTTTCAGTGTGTAAGGGTTTTAGGAGTAACGTGGACTTCTCAGCAGGGTCTTGTCAGAAAAAAAGAAACTTTGCCTGTCACCTTTGGGATGTCAACAATTGGGGAAAACCAGAACAGTTGTCACGACGATTAAGGAAACGAGGCACCTCGTGGGGTCTTGATCTCAATGATTTGTTTTATCACAACAAAGTTTGTATTTTTAATTATCTGCATTGGTTTTGGGGCGATGCAGGGGTTCTCCTCAAAAAATCCTTTTTCACTTGCCACCACGTCACACTGTCACAATTTGGGAAAACCAGAAAAAGATGCAGTTGTAGCTGTGGAACAGTTAAACTGTTTCCAGCTGTATTAAAGGTTTTTTTCAATACAGATCTGGGGACATTATGGTTCTGTGGACTTACACGTAATACCGTAGTTCACGCAAATGCCAATGTGACGTAAGAAAATATTCGCAGTGAAATTCTGCCAGAGTTAAAACGTCATCAACTTTTGCAAATTTGTTGCGTGAAAACTTTGCGCGACATCACAAATTTGCTTCGTGTTGGGTATGAACCGGCCCTTACACATGTACATCAAGCACATGCTGTTGGCGTGGAAAAAATAACTACTTAACCTAGCGATGCACAGAGGCAGCATTTTATAGCATGATGCTTTCTGATGACATTCCATAACATATAGAAAACAATTTTTCATTTAAGAAACACCTAACCTTGTACATGTAGGCTGTAGAGTTGACCCTGGCTTAATCCCCATTCCATTTCTATTTTCAGTCAAAGGGAGAGCCCGGAAATTTCTTGTTCAGCTGCCGGACAAATCTCTGCAGCTCATTTCAAATTTTTTAGAACTGTCCCCCCCCACTCCCATGCCTCTATTATGTCACATCCTAGCCCTTTTGACGCTGCCCAAGTGTTGACTTTTGAAACCAATACAACCCAGTTGTCTGCAGATACAGTATCTCCCAACAAAAAATATCTACTAATACTAGTATTAATACACCCCTCCGAGACCCGAGACTGGGATTGGTGTATCAATCCCGGATCACGACAGGCGGCGTGTTTCTAGAGCTTCTTACGTTCCGTTCCATCCCCACGTTTGTCCTGGGCTTCCTGGCTTTCAATTCCGGAGAGACCAACACTTGGCTCCGACCATCCAGAGGAATTCTCATGCCTTTAAGAAAAAAAACTCTATCCCCACTTTTATTTTTGAGTGAGCCATATATATTGTATTATCGATCCTGTCTGTGAACCAGTTTTGTGTCTGGAGTTTCAGGGGCATCTACTTGTCGGACGATGACCTCATATTCTCGCCAACACTCTGGCAAAAATGTAGGATGCCAAGAGCTAAGAGCTGGGTGGAGAAGTTTCGGTAAGCACAAGGGCTGGAGGTGCAACACATGTTGCAAGCTAATTAGAGACCAGGTGGAAACATAACTCCAGAAATGACATTACAGAAATGGCTGGGGCCTGTCCACTGCGGCGACACATCAGCGGTGGCCGTGAATACCGATATCACTAGGATGCCCCCAGCTACAGCTTGCTGCGACAACTTTAGGGCGTGGTACGTGTTCTACTTAACAGCACCACAACAGCGCCTACTTGTACAGCATGTCATTGCCTTCCCACAGAATCAAGCCCCTAGGTACAAAATTGACAACACATGACCCAAAAAAGTGAGACTTGTTTTAAGGCTCTCTTCTAATTTGACACAATTTACAGAAATGAGTCCTTATTGAAGAGGTGCCAAGCATGTATGTTTGCAAACTTAGTATAAGTTCAATGGAAATGAAGTACAATGATGTACCTATCAACTTTAAATGGAATTTGCTCCGGGGCCAAAACATTTGATCAATGCATACAAATGTGTCTCTTCACTGTTGTAAGTTTATAAGCATTTATTTGAAATTAACACTGAGAAAAAGCAGTTACCGGTAACTTGGGAACATCATAACCACATCCTTCAGACACCTTATCAACTGGATGTCTGGCAAGTGCATTTGCTGCGTTGTAAAACATCTACAATTGTAAGCAGGAGGTCATGGGTTTCAGCTCAACCCAAACAATTTGTGAATCTCAGAAGTTCTACCAAACTCAAAGACAGCACGGAGTTTACAGTACATTATACAAAATCACCTCAGGGTTGTTCAAAACCAAAGTCGCACTAAAGATGTATTATTAACTGCCAATTAAAAAGCAAAGAATAGCCATGCCCCGGCCTGTGTTTTGTCCCATCTAAAAGACACCATTTTTCCATTTTTATGTGTGGATGCAACAGGAACCCCGTAAAAGATCACACACAACAAGGCCCCCTACTCAGATGCACATGTGCATATATATGTAAACCGCACATATTTCTGCATATAAAAACAACAAAATAACGGGCCTACAACCCGAATACACAATACCACCAACGGGAACAACCTTCAGATATTTGGCGTTAATTGGAACGAAACACCACAGACAAGACTTACTGCAGCCCTGAGCTGTACAACTCTCCTTGTCAAGTCTCACCTGCATAACCCTGGGGTGGGGTTGGGGGTTGGAGGGGGGTGTAGGGGGTGTAGGGGGAGGGGTGCATGTTTTTGTACCTTGTTGTCACCGGACTATTTGAAGGTGTTCAGGAATGCCATGTTTTGACAGCTCGGTGCATACCTGGGGTTGATTGGTATTGGGTTGGGAGTGGAAGGTTTACTGTATGTTCGCAGGTGTAGTATGGCTCAAGGCCAGCGGTAGAAAGTAGGGGGAATGTGGAGGCTCCGCCCACTGTCCACACGGACAACAACACATGCCCCTCTCAATACCAAACTGCATGTCTCCAGAAGTGCGTGTCATATGCACGTGCATGTATATCTGTGTATTATTCAGCTCTATGATTGCTCAAAACGTAATGTGTCCTCCAAAGTGGTCAGAAAGCGGCATCTACATGTACTGTGCACGCAAGGAGTCCACACCCAAGCGAATATCTGTTTCATGAGTATCCATAAGTTGGGATACAATTTTTCAATAATGAATGGGGGGGAGGAAGGGGGGGGGGGGAGGAAGGGGGGAGGAATGGGGGGGGGGAAGGAAGGGGGGGGGGAAGGAAGAGGGGGGGGAGGAAGGGGGGGGGGGAAGGAAGAGGGGGGGGGGGAGGGGGTTGGTACGCTTGGGCCTGCCCAATCCTGAGAAATCCACCCCACCCTTCAAGTTTTTCCCATGTCGAAAAAGTTTGAACATATCCAAAAAAATCACGCTACCGCCCAGTTTTATGACAGACTAGTCCATGTGTTGCCCAATTAAATTATTCATCACAAAAGCCACTCAGTTGGCACTGCCCAATCTTTGTCAATGAACAATTTCACTTACAAGGAGCCTGTAGATCATTCCTACAGATAAACCTGTAGAATTATGACCAGAAATTAATGTATCGGGTAATAATATTTATTAACTTACCAACTTAAAACTGTTTCCAACTTGATATCCAACATCTGCAGAGATTTGTGGATTTACCGCAGCATCATATCTCAAATCCTGAAAGAGCAAAGAATAAAAATTGTTCAGATTTATTTGTGCAAGCTTTCAGGGTATTACATATTTCATCTTTGGAATTTAACATTGGTTAGATTGGGGTACACATTGAAAATAAATAAATAACGTTGGTATATATATACGTGCTTTTCCAAAATTTTGATTTTATTTTCCGAACGAAATTTTAAGGAATATAATTAACACCCTGCAGCAAATAAATTTGCTGGTTTATTTTGCAGGCCTTTATACAGTTAAAAAAAAACTGGTTTTAAATGGCGCACCAGTTCAGATATTGCGCACACTATTCAGAACAAATTAGGAGCATCCTGCTCTTAATTCACAAGTTGAAATTAATTAATTGGTAACTTGTCATGGGCTGATTTGTTCATGCCACGTCTCACTGGAAAGCTCATAACTAATGTAATGCTAGAAAATGATCAATTCAATTTGAAAATCTATTTTTCAAGGTGCCAAGCCCAAAAAGCACCAACTTAAAAAAAAAGAGTTTGTGACTTAACATTTCAATCTTAAAATTTAAGCTTTTAGAAGAAAGGGACATTGCACCCCCCCCCCCCCAAAAAAAATTCTGTTTGCATTTTGTTGATCTGAGCTGTGAACAAAAGATATTTTGTGTTTGGCTGTTAATGTTGGATGCTGTTTGTTTCAGCAAAACTCTTACAAATCCTGACTTGGAGCAGTGTTGAAGATACACTAATTAAACTGTCCTTTATGAAGCATTTGTTAAGGGACTTAGGCCCTATTTCATTTACCAGTGTTGCTCAATTCAATTTATTAGCATTGCTAAAAATCTGATAAATTCCAATTTTGAATCTCAGAATCTAGGAAAAATGCATGACCAGAAATCGCCACGAGGCATTGTTGTCCAGTTTACTTTCCTGCCAGTATTTGAAAGAGACTGTTTTGTCATTGTGCCATAGCGGTCATAGTTTACAATACAATTCATAATTTATTAAAGTCAAGGTCTCAATCACAAAGGTGGGAATCAAAATCTGGACTTTTCAAGAGAAACAGAATGTAAATTATTCAGGTTATTTGAGCGGCAACTGCAAGACATCTGCTGAGAACCATGAGTTCAAGTTAGGAGGCAAACTGACCACTCTGCGTTTCTGAGAGCAACTAGTAGTGTACCACACACGTGTCGAATCCAAACCCACTCACAAATCGTGATCCTTTTATCGCGGTCCAGCAAACAGCGTAAGTGATGCTATTTCCATCAATTTTTCATTTGTAAACACAAGCAAAGTGTAATCAAAACCGTGCCGCACAAACACACACAGGGACTTACTTTGGCCAAGTGTGGCGGGCTAGGCAGGCAGGGGATCGAGACCCCCTGTGCTATTTGGATTAGAGGCCAACTCTTGCGGAAAATCAAACACCAAAGAGCCGCTACTTTTTTCGGCGCGTTTATTTTATTATCCCATAATTCCACCCATTGTCGGCTGTGTTTTGTGCCTGCTGGCCGATAAAAAAAAAAGCGATATGAATATGAAATGACTTTTGTGTTTTTTGGCCGGCAGCTTTTTACGAGAGGTGTCGCGCAAAGTCACTGTTGTTTGTATTTGAAATTACTACCGTTGTGTACAAATGTACACTGAGAGTTCATTTAGCGAAGAAAATACCCTTCACATGTGACTGGCAATAACCACCTCATTTTGGGGACCAAAAAGAATGGATATGAATATTTTAAGATTTAATGGACTCCGTTGTAGGAGTTGCAGATGGCGCATTGGCGCTGTGGTCTGTTAGCGGCAGATATGGATACACCACGGGCTGGCGCACACTGGTTTGCGCATAATGGCAGAGAGTGCAATGTTCAACCGAATGTGCTGAAACATGAAATGTTTCATCCATGTGAGAAGAGAAAAGAGGCACATGTATTTAACATCGTGCTCAAGGCGCTACATCATTATTACACCTGCCAATAAAACATTCCAAAGACAATCTCAGCTTCCTGGGGGTATACAGCTCGATGCTGCCATTTCGGAGCAAAGCAGCTAAAATCAATCACAATAACCATCTCTGCCCTCACAGGTACCCATTCTCCATGGTAGGGAGAGAAATGAGTGACAAAGTGTCTTGCCCAAGGGCACACACACCACAAACCCAGGCTGGACTCGAACCCACAACCTGCAGCATCACCCACAGATCATGAGTTCAATGCAACAGACCACGAGGCCAAGATGCTCCATACATGAAGGCACCTGAATGTGGGTTCACATGTATTACAGTTCACGTTTGTGATGGTCCCAGAGAGTCCTTGTGTCCTCTTTGCGGCTACCTCATTGGCTGAGTGACTGATTGACTGACTGCCTTGTTCTATGGACTGACTGACTCTCACTTCTGAGCCGGGCAGTGCTTTCGTATAGGATTAATTTTAAGGTTGAGATGAAAAAGTGGGCATGATCTCATACCAGGTTGCAATGATACACAACTGGTGTGACTGCAATTAACCTGACATTGAACAATTCTTGACTGTTGTGAAGTGTGATGTAGGATATGACGTTTTTATTACCTGAGGGGCGCATAGCACCCGAGGTGAAGGGCTTTGAGGGTGCTATGTGTTCTGAGGGGGTTAAAAGGGGGTTCTTTTCTACGTTCTTCTTCCCTTGTCCAGTAGTGCAACGGTAGCTAAAGTACATGTACATATGTACAAACAAAGGAGTAAATCCTACAGTGGAAGAGGATTACGTGAAGAAATAGTGTTTGAATATTACCTCCCATTCACGCAATATAGACCTATCGCCTTAGTTTAATCTCCAAGACTTAATCCAGATTAATCTGGATTAAGACCTTAATCCCAGCTTTGCAATATTTTGGTCAAAAAGTCTTGAAATAGTTTTACACTGATCTGGTCTTATAGATTACAATGAAAGTATGTACGTGTCAAAAACTGTTCTCAAGGTTTTCTAAAATTTTTGAACAACTCTGCATGTACACGTCTGTGCATGTATTCTTTTGGAGATCTAACGTGTAATATCACAACATATCAAGATGTGAAATGTAAAAAGGCAAACAAAATGTACAAACCACTACTTTTCAGACTTGCAATCAGAAGTTGAGGTAACAATAGGCACTGCTGGGGGGTGGGGGGGGGGGGGTGGGATGTGGTAAGGGGAGTATGTCTACTATCTAGGGTTCAGATGTACTTTGTGCAATCATTGTATAGCCCCAGGGCTTAAATAAAGCTCATACGGCCCACCAGGATTCGACAGATGGGGGTTGGGAATGTTCAGATTGACATTCATATTGATGACGTCCTGGTTTAAGATTCATACGTTCTAGATCATGTCAAAAATGAGATAATGAATCTATAATGATCGTCATGCTTCGTTTCCTACGGGGTGAGTAAAATGCATGCAAAGGTGGCCTAAACAAAATTTGGGGTTTTTTCAGGACATGCCAAAAAATAGTTTGATAAAAGAATTTGTTTTCCCCTTTCATGACGTCACATGTATCCAACTGTGCACTTATAAATTGCTTGTGTCGAAGTGCATTATGCATTGCCAGATCTCAACTTAATTTCTTTTTCAGGTACATACATCATAAAATGCGCATAGGGGCAATTCCACACCAAAGTGGACATGACACCAAAAAATTCAAATACATGTGACTTAAACAAATTTGGCATCAAATGAAAGCTAAAAGTCTATATTTTCAAGATTTGAAGTCGGAATTTTATTTTTTATACATTTCGGTACCAAAAAATAGGATTATGTAATAATCCTGTTTTAATCCTAAAAATGTGATTAATAGTGATATGAAAGTATTCTACCAATAGACACACAAAAATATGTACTAATGCCATCAGTTTCTGTCATGAGAAAGTATTGGTCTTGAAAAACCGACTAAAACTTGTTTTCAACATTTTGCGTAATTTGTTTCGCTTCAGTGACTTCTAATATTTCAGCCTTCGAAAATGTCCTTCCGTTACCGAAAAAATACATATTTCTAATTTATTTTTAAAACTTGCAGTATGAATGCATTGAAAGTTATTGTGCAAAGCAAGTTTAGGTAGGCCTTCAATATGACATTGTAACTGACACTTCTGTACTTCTCGTTTTTAATTACAATTAATTAAATCACGTCCTTCCGTTACCAAATTGGTAACGGAAGGACGGTAACGGAAGGACAAATTGTATTTTTATCAAATGTTACGACATTTGCGCTCATGTTTGAAAATTGAAAATCACTGCAAATACATGCATGTATAATGAGCATTGAAAGGACATTCATGTGACCCACCTTCACAAAAGCGGGATAAGCAGGGCAAGGTGTTTATTACAAAGGAAGGCACAGGCATGTACAACATGTACAATCTACATGTACATATATGCCGATGTACCAGTACTTGTACATATGGAGTTGTTGCAGAAAATCAAATCATAAAGTTGCTGCCATCAGCATTCATGGACAATAGAGAAAGATACGAATTCTGTGAAGCCATTCCAGAAGCAAATTAAGTCCAAAATGAGATGGCAGAAAGTACTGCTACTTTGGGGCACTTTCATTCAATTTACATGTGTAAGACATGTGAGGTGCAATCTTTGACAAATTATGCCGAAGTTAACAATTTCAGTTTGGATGTTTATAAATTAATTGTTAATACTCTAAATCATTGTAATTTGATTTCAAACATTGATTTTAGAGTTCAATTAAAAGCAACACCTAACTGAAGCCATCAGTTCTACCGGTAGATGTTTTTACCTTAAATGTACATGTAGGCTGGTCGCCCCCCCCCCACCCTTTAGGTAAACCTTTGAACCTACCCGTATTATTATTAAAAGTTGTTGGTGAACATGTAACCAATATACTCAAAGAGTTCAAATACTGTGTATTTAAACTTTTAAGGATTGAGGTGATGGGTTTGAAGTCTATTTCTGTAGTAGTCCTGTGTTTGTGAATTATGTGTTTTGGGTTGTTTTCGTTTTTCTTTTGTTATCATTAATTAGCAGGCTTCTATCTTTATCTCAATAGTTTCTTGGGTATAATTATTTATGCCAGGTCTGCATATTGTTGATTTCACATTCAGTTACACATTTCAGCAATTTGTTTCACTTGTATAATTAGTGTAAATTCACATTTTGTTCATGCCATAATTGAGTAAACCTTTTGTCCTTCCGTTACCGTCCTTCCGTTACCAAATTATAATCTGCTTAAAACGTTGTAATTATATTACCGAAACGCTTAAAGTCAAATGAAAGGCGGTATAGTATAGATAAAGCTTCAGGGATTCCATTTCCTACCTTTAAAATATAATTGCCCCATAAAATTCACAGAGTTTACGCAAAACGCGAGTAAGTTGGAAAACCCTTGTCCGTTTTACCGTCCTTCCGTTACCGACCTCATTAATATTCATAATTCAAAAACGGGAGGCATTCTTTCCCCCTCAAAAGTGTGGAAAATGAAAGTAGCATTATAGCAATACAATGGTGACATTTGTTTGCTGTAACTATTAACAGTGTCTGTGATACACACATTTGAAATTTTGTTTAATGAGTGAAAACGTCCTTCCGTTACCGTGGAATTGCCCATAGGCTAGAGTTTTAAAACATTCATTGGTTAATTGTACTAAAAATAGGCAAAAACTCCCCTAGTATTAAAAGACAAAGATTTAAGTTAGGTGCAAATTTCACAACTATCACTATTCAACCAAAATAAAAAAATCTATTGGTAAATGTGATTCATAATGATTCATAATCAAGGTATGCTTTTGTTAATATGGGGACTGTTTATTACTGCTCATAACAACCTTAATGGACGCAGTGCTCCAACCATAGATGGCGGTGTGTGACCACGTTTGAATGTCTCTCCCAGTGGTCTCCCCCACCTCTACCTCTGTAACCATGAGCGGGGTACCGGTACTTATGCAAGATGTCCACAAGCCCCATAAAACAAAAACAAGCTTCTCTTGAGCCTTATTTTCTCCTCGACTCTTCCGACAGCTGAGATTTTCCCTGATGAACTCAAAATTATTTTTATCTTCGCCGTCATTGACACAACTGCAGACTGAACAATGATAAGCTTGCCAAAAAGCAATTTATCAAACTGACACCTTTTCTTCCCCAGAAAGTGAATTAAGTGAATGATAACAAAGGCTGGGACAATGTTACCCGACACCCCGTTCCCTCCCCCCCCCCCCTCGCCTCCCCCCCCCCCCCCACCAACACACCTCGATTCCAGCCGTTCTTTCCATTCATCTAAATCTCCCCATCCCACAATTTATTATTCATGGGCGAGTGTTGGGCGGCAATAAATGTTGATTACATATTCAATTTGAAAGTCAAATTGAATCACGGAGACTTATCCTATTATGGCATTAAGAGGGGGGGAAGGGGGGGAGGTGGAGTGCACCACACTGTGCCAGCCGGCCTGCCTCCCAAACTCTGCGTAGGGTCCAGATACTGATCGGCAGATTGTTGCTGTAGGGAGGGAGGAAGGGGATTGTCTCACTACACGCCTCGCTGGATTGCGGAAAACCAGCAGATGTTCCGTACTCTGGAACAAACCCAATATTCCTTCTATTTTTTCTGGAGTACTTTATTTGTTCAAGGAAAGGACAGCTTTAGATGTTCTGTACACAACATGAAATTCTAGAACAGTACACACCGAGTTTTATCAAAAGGCGGCATTCTTATTTGGGTTTTGTTCTTGGTGCAGGCAGTGCGAAAAGCAAAACTGGCAAAATAAACATAGTGCTGGCACCAAATCTTACGTCTAAAGAGATTTTTAACTTTCCAAAGATGAAGTCTTTTGTATACCAGCAGTAAAAGCTTTTGATACTAAGCTCCACAGGAAACATGAAACATCCGTGTTCGAATAAAACATGAAATGACCTTCAATGAATATGTCTGGAAAGATAACAATAGGTTGGGTTGACAGAGTTCAAATTTTCCCATTGACCCAGTAAAGAGGTCCCAAAATCCCCATGTTGGGCCCCGTTGACATTTTTTTCTGCTGCCCAGTTAAAAAATCAGGGGTTTACAATAATAATGTGGTGCTTATATAGCGCTTTATACCAAAGGTCTCAAAGTGCTTCACAATTATTACCCCTGTTCATCAGGCCACGAGACCATTTTTTTTATGCAGCAACTCGAGATCAGCGCAGTCTGGTCTCTACCTTCTCCCATTTATAGTCCTAGGTGGAGTGAGGCAAATATAATAGTAAAGTGCCTTGCCCAAGAACACATTTGCCATGTACCTCAAATCCTCATCATGGATCGAACCCACATGCACATGAGTCAAACACAGTAACCATTGGATCACGGCGCTCCACAACCCAAAGCAAGCCAAGAGGACGAAAGACCCATTCAGATTGGATTACATATTCATTACCTAATTGACACTTTTCATTGAGGCCATACAAACACTTTTCCCCCACTTCCAACGCGGTGGGAATTGCTGGGAGGGATCATGAACAGCACATTTATGTCCACTGAATAATTGAATGATCAGTGTTTCATGCTCTCAAAACATTTTCCCTTCATGAGGTGTGACAATCAGTCACCGCCCCTATCTTCAGTAGTGCGAGTTCACGCAGAGCGTGATTCATATGACCAAAATAATTATTCCCCAATCGACAAAAAAAGAACAGGGGTTTCAGTTATGTTCCTAAGAAAGAAAGAAAATACGTACATGGGAAAAACGTGTCCATATCCACAGCTGTGGCGTTACAATCAGCAAACAAACAAAAACGAGGAAGGCAGAGCACATTTTCCCTTTCTTTTCTGTCAATTTTTGGTTGGATGCATGAGGGAAATTTACCAAGTCACGCCGATTACCTTTTTTTTTTCTTCTCGGCGTACAATCAAAGTCCCGTGGCAACCCTTCAGGGGGTTTGTTTTATTTTGTCCCGACTTCAACAGATTAGCACATTGTGCGGGCCGGGCCAGTGTAAGCAGTCGGCCCCGCTTTGACTTTATGCTTGAGTTTGTTCAGCCATTGTTCCCTCCTCCTGCAACAAGAAAAAAAAAATTTGCCAGATTTTGAGAAGCGAGGAAGCCCCGAATAAATTCCTTTTGCTTGGGCTGCGACGCTGCAGGGGCAACAGCTTAGTTTTCCCAACAATGCAATGGATATGTTTACACGACTCTAACAAATCCCGATGTCTTTATTTTCCTCTTTTCGTGTGACCCCCTCCCACTTTTTTCGTTTTTTTTTACAGTGCCGACAATCAACCAAAAATGCACGACATAAAGTTAAAACATGTTAACACCCGGGTGACTGAAAGTTCAGAGCACAGTTTTGTAGAAAGTTGTCAACCAACAAAGGTCCTGTCAAAAGCTATTGCTTTATGGCTTTCAGCATCGTAAAAAAAAAAAAAAAAAATGTCGTCGTACTTTTAACCGCTTCTGAAAATTCACATCAATGTCAATTTTGGAATGTAGTATCATTTTAGTTTGCCTATTTTTCAAAGAAAATAACCTTTATCAAGCAACTAAAGATGAGTTTCAAAGGGGAACAGAAAAATAATTGGAACAAGTTTGTGATCTTGTTACATGTAGATTTGTTACTACGTTAATTCATTAGGGATGCTACAAAGGTTGGAAAAGTGAAGTAGATATGTACACAAAGACGGTATTAAAATATAAATTTGGGGGAAAAGCATGAAAAGCATGAAAAAAACTTAGAAAAAAAAAAAAATTAAAAAAAGAGAGAAAATGCTATTTTATATGATCACATATTTCCGTGCCATCACTTCTTGTTTTCAAAGTGAACAGTGCTACAATTTAAAATTCAAAACAGTTCAAGATCAGTTCAAATGATTCAACACTCAACAATTCTTTGACAAATTTCACCATCAAATTTTTGGCATTTCTGGTCCCTGGTCCCCACCCAAGGCACCTGTGCCCCTGCAAACCCCCCTCCCCCTCCGCTCCCCCCACAGCGGGAGACAGTCTTGATGAGGTTACCCCTCCAAAACAAAACACCATGTCAATGTCGCTCGCCCGTCAATCAAAACAACGATTGGCAGGCACTAAAGACAACAGACCAAACTAAAGCTTGGAGGTATCAGGTGTGTTTGAGGGTTGATACAGGTGTGGAGATACATGGGTAGAAGCACAATATGCCCAGTGAGGGGTCGGTATAGGGGGGTTAGAGGGGGGTGTGTTTGAAGTGGGCTCAAGGCAATCCCACAGCAGGTTTGATGAGGCCTTTTCACATTATCGTTTCGAGTACCAGTATTGACATCAATGCGGGTCTACAGGTTGAGTGGTACCGGGTCCGATTGATACACGGGTCGACAAGGCATACCCTTCGCACTCAGGTCAATTGTATACAAGTTCCACCCAGGTTATAGGCATCTGCAACCCTCAACAAAAAAAGGCTTCAAGTTCCCTTCGAAAAGGCTTCCCTTCTGAATTATTGACAGGCAGCAAATAGTTTCAACCATTCAACTATTTATTCCATAACTAAACGGATGCCTCACTCAAACGTGAATTTTCCTTCTGTAAAGGTATAGAGAAATAGGAATTGAAAACTAAGCCTATTTCTTTTTTGGGGGGAGGGGCAGTTTGAAACTTCCAAGGGTAGTATGTCTATAATGAGCAGATTTGGAGCGAATATACAAATTTGGTTCGCATTTTCTGTACAATCACTCCTTTTGACGTAAAAAAACCACCTCGTAGAAAAAAATCCTTTGAAACAATTCTGACGAGTTAAAGGGAATATACAACATTTGCAAACATCGAAAAATAAAACTACCAAGTTTTGGCGAAATACCTTAATAGGATGTTGGTAAATGACAGTCTAAAGCATCCTGTAAAATTATGGCACCTGGTATACTGTCATTTTCAAGAAAAGTGGTATTTTTGTATCAATTTCCAACGCTGATCGGCCGATCAGCGTTGGAAACAACTGGCTTTTTTTCAAATACTGGCCCCAATTGACCATTGCACTTGTTTGCAATCGATTACAAACCTATGAACGGGTACGAGCCAGCTAGACTGGTTCCCTGACCTTACAATTCCCCAATGTATGTAAACTGCTCTGTTTCTTCTTATATGGAGTCAGGGAACCAGACTACAGGAAAATGATCGTTTTTCTTGGTTTTTATAGCATTTTCGAACCCAAAACCTCAAAAAAAGTCAGTGTAACTATATTTGCTATATATTTCCAATCCCCCAATTCCATCCATTTCTGAAAATTACAGCAAAAGCAAATGATGTATATTCCCTTTAATGAGTATTACTAGTCAAATACTGATAAGGCTAAGTCACACCAGGTGATTTTTTCACATGCAACTCTGAAGCAACCAAAGTTCACTGCAAGCTAAAGGAATCCCGATCAAGAACCAACAATTTTCTCCAAAAAATAATGCAAATTCCTGAGAAATTAATGTAAATTGAAGTAGACCTGTAAATTTTCCTAGCAGATCCAGAGACGAAACTGGCCTACAGGAAAAAAAAAATTGGAAAATAGGCCGAACAAAAATCTGTATCCAAAATCTTGTCCACGTCGCATATACAATACACTTCGTGCCCAATTTCTGGACACCGTCTCCTGTTTTATTTTAGATCAAAACAAAATTTTATGATGAAAAAAATGTTGTGTTTTCATAAAGTTAAAAAAAATGAATTACGATTAGAGTAATGGACTCATCAATAAAGAAGTTGACTTTGCGGGGAAAAGATCGTCAGACAAATTAGACTTTTGGAAATATATTTTTTAAAAAGTCGGATTCTCGATTAAAATCCGAGAAATTTCATCTCTGCAGATTGCCTGAAACTAGTTGCGCCTTGTACATTCTGTCTAGTGTCATACGAAGTGTGCCTTTGAAGTTTCTCTTATGACTTGCATTTCTCATTTATCAGAAGTGTTGTAGGACTCAAGTCCAGGGCTTAGCCTTGTTCCCATCGCGAGTCATAATTTTGGTGACTCGGACTTGACTTAAGTCACATTGGCAAAAGACTTGGGCTCGAATTGACCATGACTCAGACTTGATACTTATGACTTGAGACTCCGGAGCCACACATTTCTTTACCAAAACAAAATAATCTTTGAAAACATAGTTCCCATGTTTATTTCCGAAAGTAACGCTAAAGCAATGCTAAAGAGAACGTTAAGCACACAAACTGTACCATGCCACTCTCCATGTGGTGTTGCAAATAATACGTAACATTTGTTATGAAATATGCACTTCCCTACATCCCATGACAGCGCATCACTGTTATATTGCTTAAATGATGATGTGCGTCCATGCACACCTACCGGTAGGCCTATGTCTTACATATGTGACTCGGACTCAGAGTCAGTCTTGAACCAACTAACTTGTAACTCAGACTTGAACCAACTGACTCGAGACTCAGACACAAGACTCGACTAAAGTGACTCGACCACAACACTGTAGAGGACACCTCCATAGGAACAAAAATGACATGCTCCATGTTCCATTGTCAACTGCCCTGAAACAAGCCGATTTTTAATACAATTTCATTTTCAGTCAATGTCAGAATTATTATTATAAATGGCTTTTCGAGAACACAATTAATAAAACTGTAAATAAAGCGGGACAACGTTATCTGATCCAAATCCGACAGATGCAACTATTCGTTACCAACCTTCCCGGTTCAAAAACTGGTTTCGTTTTTGAATGGGGACACGTGCGTCAAGAACTTCACGACTTACTGCTGTAGCACTAGATAAAAAAATATATATAATCGATTGGATGATTTATTGGCTTGTTTTAGTTCTTTTTTTTTCGATCAATTATGTTTCATTTCATTTCTTTGTCGGCAGAATGACCTAGCGATTGTGGCCACTCTGCTCAAAAATTGATTTGGAATAATTGTATTTAAATAATGTATACACAAAGACTACATAAGACCACAGCCACAGGAACAATTTCATTTTTGAAATTGCTTGAAAGTTGAAACATATACACGTACTTATGTACTATTTTGAAAAGTGTTTTAAGAATGAAATATACAACTTCTTTGTGCTAAAATTTGGAGTAATGTTAAGAGTAGCAAAAAATATTTGCAAATGGATAAATATTATTTTTTTTTAAAAGCTGCAAACAGATTTACAAACATCTTCAAAAATCAGATGTACACTGTGCGAGAATTTAAATGAGACACACATTTCTAAAACAAAATTTCGACACTGACTGAGAATGAAATTAAAAACATTTCCAATATTAACATTATTCATTTAATCACATTTTACAATTGTCCACAGCCAACATTTGCACCTGGACTTTCTGCTGAATCCACATTCAATTAGAAACTCATTCCTGAATCACATCTGTAATTGGAATATTCAAAACGTAATGCCCCCGTTTTTCCCCCCAATTTTTGTAACAAACCTACGCCGACTTATAACTGAATCAATCACCCCCGTTGCCTCATTAATGCAAATAAATATATCAAAAACCTTTGATCGGTTTTCAGTTGCTTTGTGGCGGGCCGCTAGAATAACACCTCCCACCGCGTGGACCGTGAGATAGTAACGAGAGGGGGGACGCAAGCGCCGGCGGTGCCTGTGACACACTCTGAGAGAGAGAGGGGGTGAAGGGGGGGGGGTGGGGAAAAATATCGGCAATTTACTCAGCGCTATATAATTGATCAGCTTATAGGCACGCCGACTGTTTATTATCCCAGCTACTCGGGTGGACGGGATTGCGATCGCACGGATTCTTTTCCGGATTGGTAAGGTGGGCACCATGCTAGGACGGCGCGGGATAATCGCTTTTGGGTGGATGGGCAGTAAGCTGCTGGGGTAGTGGAGCGTAAACTTGTTGGAGTGTGGGTTTTTTTTTGGGGGGGGGGGGGGTGATTTTAGTCAATTTTTCTTTTGTCGGTCGGCGTTTTGGGTTTATCAACCTACTGAATGATTGGCCTTGACAGGGCTTGTACTTTTTTTTTACAGTGGATGAATAATTCAACATGTCTCAGAAAATAAAACAGAATTTTAAAAAAATGTAAGATTTCATTATGATTTAACTACACAACC